GTTCTAAAAGTGTTTTTTTCTTTACAACGAGTACAATTACCCATGAACAGTGAGGATAGAAAAGCATTGATGTTGCCGACGATGAGTACCGCCGCCGCACTTAAGCAGCATTCAAAATTTCAAATGACTATTACCAAGATAAATCATCAAAAAAATTTGGCAAAAAAAAAAAAAAGGAAAGGCTTAAGCTCAATAAAACTTTTCATAAACTATCTGAAATGAATTTGCTTATCAAGAACAAATCAAAGTGTTTTTCTTTTCTTTACTTTCTTCGGACAGAAGTGCAACTTATTGTTTACTCTAACTAATACTTTTGCACGGAATCAGAACAAAGGAGGTGTAAGATATTTGTAGGAGCCACAAAATTCAATTATTTATAACATTATTTGTAAACAGTTAATAAAGATTAACAAACAACTATTAAATTTATGAAGTCGGAATGATTTATTTTGCCACTGTTAATTTTTTGCTGATTTCTCAAACGATCTGAAGAGTTTTTCAGAAAAATTTGGAATGATCAAATACCAAACAAATTTCGATATTATTTTACAATGTGCTTAAACTTAGGTGGAATCCAAATACTGTGCTAGTGAAAATGTTCTACTTTTACCTACAACATTAAAGTAGTATCTGCACTTTTAAAAGCTAAATTTCATTCTTCAGCTATTGCCGAGAAATAAGTTTAACAACAAAACGTTAAAAGCTTTTTCAAATCAAATTAAAAAATTTTAATCAAGGTTTTAAAATGAATACAATTCCTTTATGTTCTGCTGCCATCTCACACGTAGAATCACACTTTACTTTGCCTAACGGGTCTGGAATACAGCAAATTTATTGCATTTTCCTCTGGTTTTCTGTGCAATCAATCCATGACATGATAGCTGGCTTGACGCCGATATTTAAATGCTTTTTTTCTGACTGCCGGAACTTCATACAATTTACTCAGCAGCAATAATTTATTCTAAAAAAACTGAAAACCTTTTGGGAATCTGTTTCTTAGCCCGCAGTCAAGCAAGCGAAAAATTAGCCATAGTTATGAAGAAAAATTGATCAACTGAAAAGATTAAGGGGAAGTGAAAAAAAGTCAGTATTTGGCATTGCCAAAGAAAGAAAGTTTTTTCTTGTTATACACTTCTAAATACTTCATACTAACAACTAACAAAACACACTGATTTTAAGCAAATTTTTCAACTTGTTAATCTACAGAAGCTCTTTAACAGCAACAACTTAATAGAATCAACTTTAACTTGACGGTATTCATGTCGCTACCGTTACCGCTGCTTGAAAAAGCTAAGTTAAATCCATCAAGTCAAAGGTTTATAACTGAAGCCAATCGCATTTGTCAAAAGTCACACTCTTTGACAACTCCGTGGCAAACCTATCATATAAACGTCTAATGGTATATAGGAAGTTTTTGGTAATCAGCACACAGCAGTATGATTGTTATTTCTTTTTTTTTTTTTTTGGCTAAGAACTATTTTGAATGTTTACAAAGTTTCAAGTATTTTCAGTGTCAAACCTTGCGGTGAATTACCTTTTTTTTCTCTCATATATTGCAATAAATACTGTCATCAAAATGAAAATGAGGCGGAAAAAGACTTATTCGAAAGGCTATAAAGGCCAGTC